TCACAAAATATATAACTTGTAATATAAAAAATAAAAATAATAAAAAATAATAAAAATTGGATAATCTTGTTACAAATTGGCGCAATGAAAAATGTCATAACCAAGCCATAGGCTTTTGCAAAATCAACCACAAAATTGTGGACATTTTGTTATTTTAATTTGTGGCGAGGTTACGCATTTTATGATTAATGTTACAAAATTTTGTAATAAAATTACACATTTTATGATAGTGCCATAGCATTTTCCTATTTTTACACACAAAACTAATTAACAAATATGTTACGATTAAATTATAACCAAAACTTTAGAATTAGGAATTGGACGATTTGAATGGGTCAACTATTTTTAAAATTGGAACCAAAATCGAAGCTGATAAAAATAAAATCAAATTGGCAATTTGATTCGAATAAAATTTTCATTGATTTTTTTTAACACCCTGGTAAAAAACTTAATCAAATTGTTGTAAGTTGAAAAAAGTTTTGAGTTAATTTTCTACCTAATATGTGATTGTAAGTGTAAATTATTAGAGAGAAATACTTTTTAAAAAAATTTAATTAATTAATTAATTAATTTATATATATATATATATATTGCAGTAAATTGGACCAAATAAATGAAGTCAAATAACGTGAAAATCCCGGCCGAGATTTAATAGAGTCACAAATTGGTACCCTGTGGGCTCCTCCTCAGAATGGCCTTCTTTGACCCAACAAATAAACGTGTCCCTTCGAACATAGGGCCGAAATTGTACTCTTCAGAGACAAACAAGTCACACTCATTTAATTTGCCAAAAAGCTGAAGTCTCAGAATTTGGGACTCCAAATTTAATTAAAAATTGATAGGTTTAATAGAGATTGAATTAATTAAGTGTGAGATTCATATATAAAATAAATTTGAATTATTGATATAAAATTTTAATTAATTTTAGATTTTAATTAATTTGACCTTACACTAAAATGTGTTGGGAATTTGTTTTGGTTAATTATTATCGCGCTCTCATTTTCCCTTATTGATGATGAAATCCTTCATGGATGTTTTCTTTACTCATTTTCTCTATAAACAAACAAAGTTAGGCCTCTTCTTTTTGATTGGTAGTAGGCCTAAGTTGTTCTGGTGATCTATGCGTATTACTGTTGATTTGTTATGTCTTGTTTTTTTATAATTTTTTATTCATGGGTCGATTTGCTCTGTCTTGTTTTTTTATAATTTTTTATTCATGGGCCAAATTATGTAGATTTTCTTTAGTCATGACATTTGATTAATGAAAGTTCAAACGGTCTCCTAGGCCTAACTGCTAGAGTTGTTTATTATTTTTATACGTTGGTTGGTCTTTGTGGACGCATAATGGAATTCAAATGGATGATCTAATTTTTAAATAATTTAATTACGTTGATTGGATAAAAATAATTACTTGGTTAGATTATATTTGTGTAAAAAATTTATTTAAAAAAAAATTAGTCAAAACCTCTCCATTAGATCCTTGTTTAGTGAAAATGATAGCCCAATTTATTTTGCTTCATAAACTCCCTAAAAAGGAGGCGCATGATTGAGTAAGGATAAAGTAAAATATCTTTTTTTTTTTCTCTTGGACAATATTGTCAGAGTAATATGTTACTGTGAGATAAAGTAACATGTAACATGTTACTCTCAAATAGAGTATTATGTTACTGTTTATATCAATTTCAAAGGTAATATTTTTTTTTTTATTATAAAGAATTTCATAATCAATATAGATCTTATTTGATAGATCTTGATGAAAGAATTTTAAAAATACTATTTTTTATAATTAAAAACCGACATCTAGATCAAAATTTATATTATTTTAAAATTTAATATTTTCGTAATAGTGGTATGTGTTGAACTTTTCAAGCAAAACTTTTTGTACTTGTCCTTAACACATTAAAGTTTTATTACGAGGGGGCTTTAACTAAATCCCCTTTTTTTAAAATCATACTTATTATTAACACAAATTTGATCTAATCAATTGGCTATCGATATCCGATCAATATGATTTTTTATAAAGATGAAGTACTCGATAAGCCTTACATATCAAACATTCAAATCATTGAAGTGAGTTCTATACCACGGAGTCCAACATCACGCTCCAGTCCAATTTTTAGACCGAAGAAAAGTCTGATCCATTTTTATATGAAAAATGATATACAAATCGACTTTCTAAACCCAATGATGTGTAAGTAATATGATTAGTTGATGATTAGAAAATATATGAGAAAGAGTATTGTTTTTAATATTCTAATTGATTTTCACATCATTGAATTTGAAAATTGAGTCTAATTTTTTATTTTTGAATAATAATACTATTTTTATATATATGCAAAGAATGCCAACATGTTGTGTTTTAAAAATAATCAATAAATAATCCATAAATAATAACAATAATAAATTCGTAAACCATAATTGTCTTTGTATCCTTCTTTCTTTCTTATTTTTCTATATCAAATTGTTTATTAGATGTATAGTCAAGACAAAGTTGGTGTGTAGTTTAGTTCATTTTTTAAAGGCATATTCGGTTGTGTTTTTTGTTTTATGTTTTCTGTTCATTTTTGGGAAAACAACAAAAAATTGTTTGTGATTTTTTTTTTAAAACAGCTTACTTTAAAAAAAAAAACAAAAAGTTGTTTTCTAATTTCAGAAATTATTTTTACACAAAAGTAAAAACAATATGAAGATGATGGATATTTTAAAAAATTTATAATTTTTTCCTCTAGAGCACAAAAAATAAAAATAAAAATGACATTGACAATAAAAAGACACAAACAAAACTACCCTTATTACTTATTTGGTCAAACTAAAACTAAAAATAAATTTTACTCAAAAAAATAAAAATAAAAAGTAAAGCCTAATAAGTGGCAACTACTCTCGTGTTGGATCAAATTAATAAAGAGTCATGATTTGAGAAATTCTATTATACACATTTGAAGAAAAATACACGTTATGTGCATTTCAATTTTTAATTATTGAATTAAAAAATAAATTCAAATTATTGATCATAGTCATTAAGCCGTAACCAGTCTATAATTTAACAGATGAAATGAACTCCTAACTAACCTATTTTTAAGTCGTTCTTTGGCAAAAACAGTTTTAATTGATTTTTTGGAGTTAGGCTTTTTAATTTGGGATTAAAAAATTCGTTTGGCAAATTTTTTTTTGACTTTTGTGAGAGAAAAAGTAAAATGATTATGGTTTGAATATAACATTTTATCTTATTGACTTTTTAATCTATTTTATCTTTCAGTGACTAATTTAGTCCCACCCAACCCAACCCAACCCAACCCAAAGGAAGCCAAATACCATGCCAATATTTTCTTTCTAGTATTCACATAGTTGCTAATAATTTAGTGAAATATTTCTCTAAACTCCAAACAAAATGAAAATAAAATTACTTTTTTTTTTTTTATAACCGGGTGTCCGGGCCAACTTAAGCGCACCTTGACTAATCTCGGGACCCATGCAAAGTGCCCCCTCCATGTGGATCGAGCAAATCTTGAGCAGATCCCGCTAGCGTGGCCCTAAGAAACGAATTGCTCCTAATGGGAGTTGAACCTAAGATCTAAAGAGAGCACACCTCTAGACCCGAAGTTGCACTCACTAGACCAACCCTAGGAGTGTAAATCTGGCCTAGCCCGGACTCGGCCCATGTCAAGTCTCACGGGCTCTCGCCAAAATTCGGGCAGGGCTGGGTTGACCCACGGTCCAAAAATTTAAGCCCAGGCCTAAGTCTAAGCCCAAGGGTATTCGAGCCTTGGGCGGGCCGGTGGGCAGCGCCTGAGCCTGGCCTAGGGCTTAGGCCGAGCTTGGGCGGACCTGACCATTTTTTTTTTTGTTTTTTTAAATTTTTTCTATTAAAATTTTATTATTTTCTATTAAAAGAAACACTGAGCCTCAAGCGGGCTGGGCTTCAGGCCGAGCCTTGAGTGAGCCGATGGGCTGGGCCTGGCTGGGCTTCAAAATGATGGCCCAAGCCCAGGCCCTAAGGCTCAGGCCCGAGCCCAAATGGGTCGGGCCCACCCCGAGATGCAGGCGAGCTTTGGGCTACCTATGGGCCACGAGTCATTTTTACACTCCTAGCCAACCCCTTGGGGTTGAAAATAAAATTACTTTAAAAAACTCTTTTTGATACTATAAGGGTTGGTATTAACAATTATGTGAATCCCATATAATTCATGTCTATTTACCAAAAAAGATGTCACAAATAATTTCATGAATGTGTTAATCTCCCAAAATGAAAGGATTAGAAATACGAGGAAGGATGTTATCCTCTCTAGTATGAAACAATTTTATTCTTGCTATGTATAAATAACAAAACCTAATTTAATTACAACAAACTAGCACAAAATAAACATGAACAATTGTTATTTATGTAATAATTATGTGGTAAACAATAATGAGCAATTGATATTACATTTTTCACTTGGCAATATCATTGTCATCATCACTTATATCTTCTACATTTCTCAGTTGATATGGCATCTCTTACTTAATCTCACTTGCACTAGTAATTCCATCGTTTAATTCCATAAAATTCATAATCCTACACAATTTGTACAATCGAAAACCTAAGAGATTAATGAATGTATAGTGATTCCAAATCACAACAAAATCATGACTATATGGAATTATTTGTATGAATATATCAGCTATGATATGATAGCACTAAAATGGCATTGTTTGTATATAATATAACGAGCAAGGATCCTCTAGAGTGATTTTTTCCTAAAGTTTCCTAAAGTGCTACAGTGTATGGTTGAGATTTACTGGCAAGTCACATCAATTTTTCTGATGTGACTTGCCAATAAATCTCAACCATACACTGTAGCACTTTAGGAAACTTTAGGGAAATTTCACTCTAGAGGATCCTTGGTGTAATATAACAGCCAAATGCACTGAATTTAGACCACCGTCACCCTACGAGCTTTGGCATATTAACTATGGAAGGGCCACATGCTACCACTTCCAAAAAAAAAAAATATATATATATATATATATATATATATTATTTGAAAAATGGTCAGAAAATAAAATTTATGAAATAAATTTATTTTAAATGTAAGCCACATCATATTAAGTGGCTACATTGATAATTAATATGGATATATCTTGTGGTTTTTAAGAATATTTTCACCTCATGCATTGGAGTGTCAAATTAAATATTAAATAAATGAATCTAAATTAAGCAAATTAAGGAAGAATAGTTATTTGTTTTTCTTTAACAAAGATTAATCCCAAATTTCTCGATTACAATATGTGAAGGTGACCCAACTAAATTAACTCAATTAATTATAACTTATACACTTGCATGTTGCTTCTAAACATTTGATGGTGTTCATTGAATTTTTAACATGTGATATACCCATTTTCTTTTTCACCACCATAGATTAATGTCTCTATATTTATTTATTTTTTTAGAAATATAAGCAAATTAATACCTTAATTGCAAAAAAAGCCTACTCATAATTTCTTTCATATTCAACTCCAGCTCGAGCTCGGACTCATAATAAAAAATTTAATGGATGAACCTTTTTTTGGCTTACTTTTATGATTTCACATCACCTAACAATAGACTTAGTCACATAAATATACATTCCTTAGACATCCGCCCTTTGCAAGCCGAGTTTCATGCGTGAATTCTGCCTAATAGTTTATATCATTTGGTATAGCAAGTCACCATGTTGACTAGAATCAGAGGCAACCCAAATTGAATATGGCATTGCATGAACTGCCGACTTTAATCAACATATTTGCTAAAGTACCCTCGCCTTATAAGTCGGGTTTCAAAAATAAATTCTACCTAATAATTTATATTATGCATGAACTGCCGATTAAATCAACAAAATTGCCAAAGTACCCTCGCCGCATCTTATAAGTCCGGTTTCAAAAATAAATTCTACCTGATAATATATATCATTTACCCAGAAAACACAAGAAAATATATGTTAATTTTTTTTTAAAACAACATTGTTACCTTCACGAAATTTGTTCAGTTCAAATTTGTCCGAGACTTTTCCGATTGAAGTTTTATTTAGTCCAACTTTATATTTGTCTGAGACTCTTTCCAGTAAAAGCTTCTCGTTTTAAAAACTCATGAAAGACTCTTTTGATAAAAGTCTCATTCCGACTGATCAAATTCGGTGAATAAAATATTAATCAATTTAAAAAAACTGGACTTCAAACCATGGAAACTAACCTGGAATTGAAAGTCTGTGTACTTGAACATAGAGAGGAAGAGATTTAACATGCCAGCATGAACCATGACAGGTTCCTCCTCCGCCTCGCCGCCGCGGCATCGCAGCTCCGAGAAAAGTCCGGCAGCGGCGTCGCAATCCAATGCCACCAAGTTCCGGCATCCAGTAAGGTCGAAATCCAATCCGGCAACGGTCTGGACACCGGAAAACGCCACATAAGCGACGCCGGCGATTCGGTTGACGAGGAAACCGTGAGGAGCGGCGGAGTTGGCGTGGCGGCAGAGATTCCATGAATCCGATAACAATGGGGTGGAGCCTAGAAATGTTGCCAAAATTTCACTGGTCTCGAACCTGCAGAGAGCAAAAGCAATAGATAGGGTTCAGAACAATTTCCATGAAATATGTATGTTTGAGAATTGGAATTTCTAGGTCAAATTAGGCGTGGAAGGAATTGGAATTACGATGAAGCTTCGGCTTCCATTGATTTTCTTAATTTCGCCCTGTGAGAGTTTTAGTGGAAGATATTTGATATTTTTTTTTTTTTTTTGAACCAGAATATATTTGATATTGGTGCACTCAAATTTCGAAGTGGGGGAGAGGATTGAATAGAAATACTATAAGGAGCATATGGTAAGTGGGCCCCTTTTTTTTTTCATGCAATGAATTTTTTTTTTTTTTTTTTGGCAATAATTTAATTTGTTTTATAAATGCTATCACCCTCCCTTAATTACTTTAATTTAGTATGAATAAGAGTTGTATGGTTGAGATTAAATTTGTATAGTGTAAAAATGTTTGAGGTCGGTTTGAGTAAAAAAAAATAAAAAAATACTCATAAACAATAAATTTCAAAGGGGATTTTCTTCAATTGCCAACTTGAAAAGTATTCTAGGGTTTTAATAGGGTCATGATACTTACTTTAATGATTTGAATCGTTATTAATTTATTAGGTTTTTTTGAATGAATTATTTATAAAAATATTAGATTGATTGAATAATTGTAGTGAAATTATCATATTAGATTTTTTATAATAAAAAAAATTAGCCTATTAACCCGTGCAATGCATGGGCTAAATAAATAATTAAAAATAATTTTAAAATTAAATAATAACATAAAATTTATTTTTAAAATATAGAAAAATAATATAGAATAAATTGGATTTTAATCATTTTATTAGAATTTATTATGTCATTAATTGTATATTTTAAGTTCAAAATAAGAAATAGATGTCATTATTTAATTGGTAAAGATAAAAAAATAGAAAAGATTGAAAAAACTTACATTTATGGAAAAATAAAATAAAAATTCATTTTATAAATTTTTTAGTTTTAGTTTATTCTATGTTAAAATTTTTGTCTTAAAACTTAAACATACCTTTTAGAAATAAAACAATATATATATCTATATATTGATAAAATTGTTAAAATCAGTCAAAAGACCAACCGGCTTACATAAAAATTATTAGTTAAAACTTTTTAGTTTTATTTTATTTTAAAATTTAAACAGTTTTCAACTGAAACATTCACAACACTACAATATTAAATGAGAACATATGTTTAATTTATGTAACTGAAACAACTCACTTTTTCCTTCTTTATCGATGTGGGATTGTGTAAAATAAAAATTAACAATTTTTCGGGGCAGAAAATTTATTTCGAATCAAACAATATCAGTCATTTAATCTTTAATTAGGTCAATCTTTAATTTATTTTGAATTAAACAAATCTAACAAATATATTTTGATAAAACCGTTAAGATCGCGGTTAAATAAGCGAATCAATCAAACTAAAAACGGTCTTTCATTAGGTCAATCTTTAGTTATTTCAAATCAAACAAATCTAATTAATGTATTTTGATAAAACCACTAAAATCGCAGTTAAATCAGTGAATCAGTCAAACTGAAAGCGATTCAACCTAATCGGCTAGGTTAAAAGACCAACCAACTTATATAAAAATTAATTAATTAAAATTTTTAAATGATTTAAAATGTCTTGAATTGAAGCATACACAACACTACAATATTAAGATTTATATTATATAAGTGAAATAACTCACTTTTTCCTTCCTTTCTTGATGTGGGACTGTAAAATAAAAGTTAACAATTGTTTGGGCAGAAAGTTTATTTCTAATCAAGCAATCAGTTGTTCAATCTTTAATCACGTTAATCTTTAGTTTATTTCGAATCAAAGAAATCTAATTAATATATTTTAATAAAACTGTTAAAATCACGGTTAAACCAACGAATCAGTCACACCGAGAATGATTCAGCCTAATCGGTTATATCGAAAGACCAACCAACTTACACAAAAAATTAAATAATTAAAACTTTCAAATTTTATTTTAAAATTTAAATTGTGTTGAACTAAAATATTAAATGAGTATAATATTCACTTTATATAAGTGAAATAATTCACTTTCTCTTTCTTCTCCCAATGTGGAATTATAAAATAAACCATATCATAGACTAATTAGAGTTTTTTATTTTAAAATTTAAACTGCCTTGAACTAATCTATGCACAACACTACAATGTTAAATGGGAGTATAAGATTTACTTTATATAAGTTAAACAACTTACTTTTTTCTTCTTCTTCCAATGTGGGATTATAAAATAAATCATAAACTAATTAGAGTTTTTATTTTTATATGCTTAAAGGAAAGTTAGCTAATAGAATTTTTTTTAATTTTTTAAAATTAAGAAAATCAATATGAGAAATCGCGATTAAACCAACAACTCAGTCTAACAGAAAATGGTTCAGCCTGATCGATTAGATCAAATGGCAACTAACTTATACAAAATTAATTAATAAATTAAAACTTTTTAAATGTTATTTTAATTTTAAAATTTAAACTGTCTTGAATTGAAACGTGAACAGCACTACAATATTAAGGTTAGACGGAAAATTCATTTCTAATCAAGCAATTTCAGTCGTTTAATCTTTAATTTATTTCGAATTAAACAAATTTAATCAATTTATTTTGATAAAACCACTAAAATAGCGGTTAAACCAACGAATCAGCCAAATAAAAAATGATTTAGCTTAATTGGCTAGGTCAAAAGACCAACCAAGTTACACAAAAATTAATTAATTAAACCTTTTACATTTTATTTTAAAATTTAAACTATATTGAATTGAAACATGCACAATACTACAATATTAAATGAGAGTATAATTCACTTTATATGAGCAAAATAACTCACTTTTTCCATCTTCTCCCGATGTGGAATTATCAAATAAATCATAGATTAATTATAATTTTATTTTTATATAGTTAAATGGAAATTAATCAATGAAAATTTTCTTAATTGTTTAAAATTAAGAAAATTAAAAAAATTAGTATGAGATATTGAAACTCAAGGTTCCTCACTAAAAATCCCATTTTTTACTTATACAACTAGTAGTTGACCTGTGCAATGCATATGCTATTTTTTTTTTTCAAAAAATATTTGATGGTATAATGTGTGTTACAAAAGAAATAATTTAAAATTAAAATTAAAGTATGATTTTAATTATTTATTTTGATAATATCGGCGCAATCGTTCTATAAAATTGTTAATTGAATACTTATATATATTATTTTAGTTAAATTATTTGTGTATTTTGATAATTTTAGTTCTGTCATATTATAAACGTGTAATTATCTTGTAATAATTTTGTATGATATATATTAAATTATAAAATAGTAAAATAAATACTTATTTTGATATTAAAAATAATAGTTAAATTAGAAGAACAATTAGCAATATAAAATTAAAAGTAATTCTACCTATTTAATTGTCCTTTATAGTCATTTGGAAAATAAAAATATGTAGAAATAGAAATTATATAAAATTTATTAAAAATTAAATATAAATATGTTGTGGTTTGATTATCATATAATAATTTTATATGATATATCTATATATATATATATATATATTAAATTATATAATTGTAAAATAAACACTCTTCATTAAATTAAAATATCAACTATATAAAAGAAATTCAACAATGATTAACTAAGAAATAATCACATAACAACATCTAAACCCAAAAAGAAAAAATAATGAAAACATCCAAACAATATATCTCTGTGTGTAAAGTAATTAATTATCTGTAATATGATGTCAAAACATAAAAGAACATATTTTTCAACAATTGAAAAAGTAACTCAAGCAGTAAATCCAAATTTTAGAGATTCCTTGAGAGTATCATTGTTGTATAGATTTTTCTTCCTATGAGTTGTGATTATATAAAATAATATAGGAATATAAACTTATAAAGTATAATTTCATATATAGAATCACTATAAAATTTAAACGATAAATTCATAATATAAAATTGGTATTGCATATAGAATAATGCAAGGGAAAATAAGAAGGGAAAAAAATGCAATTCAGGGGTTGTTTGAGATGTTCTAAATAAGTACACATTTTGACTTTTTATGAAATATGGATTAGAATTTGAAGTGATGTGGTAAAGAAGTGATGTGACTTAAATAAGATGATGCGACTTAAATAGAATAGTGACCTTTTGACTTTTTTAATATATGCCAAACAAGGCTTTAGCATTAAAAAAAAATTCTAACTTTTCTGGTTTTTTGGTTTTTTTGGGTTACATCACCTTTCTATTTTTTTACACATTTTTTCAAAAAAATTAATGATAACTTTTAACCTACTTTTCAAAATATGCCTAAGTCTTTCATTTGAAGGAGAACAATAATGGTTGATAATTTATATTTAAAATTTTATGAGAAAGATTATTTGAGGATTCAACTTAACTATTGTATAATAAAATCTACACTTAAAATGAATCTAAATAATATAATAATTATAAAAATGCAACAGTCATGAATAATTTGGTTCAAACTTATACATTGCCAAGGTAAACATTGACCAACTTCAGAACAAAAATACATTCTAAGATAACAAAATTTTAGAATTGTAGTAAGTATAAATTGTAAACCTAGAGATCTTCGAGGAGTGCCTCTGACACTTAGGGGCCGGCTTGAGTTTTCAGGGGCTAAGGTGAAATAATTTTTTGGAGATTTTTTAGATATTTATAAAAAATAAAAATAAAAATCACTCTGTTTAGTTTAGAATTTTCAAAAATAATTGTCTAAGTTGGTAATTCGTATTTTTTGTATTTGGTAATGTTTTTTTTTAAATATATATAAATATTATAGTTTTTAAACGTATCTAAATTAGATGTATTTATAAAATAAATAAATAAAAATTATGTAAAATATTTTTAAAAAAAATACTAAAAAACACATAATTGGGCCATAAAAGAGAAAAAAAAATAGGCCACACAAAATTAGGCTAACGACTAATACATGTACATATATTTTATATATATATTTTTTTAATTGGACCTTTTATCAATTAGGCCAAATAGATTTTTTGAGGCCCCCTTTAAAATGGCCTAAATTAATTAAATATAATTGGGCCATTTTGCAAGACTAAATTTGGGGGTCTTTTTTTGGGCCCTAGGCCCAGGCCTCACCAGCCTTAGCCCAGGACTGACCCTGCTGAGACTGCAAACGTGTAATAGCCAGAGACAAATCTTTTTGGAAAAGGTTTAATATGATCATAAATTCCAAGTTGCATGGATTATCTC